CAATGATTCACTATAGGCGCTGTCCTCGGCCAGCAGTCGAGGGAGGAACGCTGCCAGCTTTTGGAGGAGAAGGGATGCCAGGACCGGTGGAAAGTTAACAATCTGAGAATATGTGGCTCTGATAAGCAAATGTATACTTCCTGGTAGGTGATGGCCGCTAGAAATTGCACAACTACATGCGGTAGATTGTTCAACTCTCTTTCTCTCTCTTAACTCCTCTCCCTAACTTAAATATCAGCTTAATTACAATTAAAGTGCACTGGTAATATATATAAACATATGTGCACATACTGACAGTAGAAGTGACATATTATTTTCACCGTCTTAGTCTTATTTATTTTTTAATTGAATGTTTTGTCACGACAAAAAAAGAAAGAGCAGGTAACAAACAAATAGCTAGGTTACATTACTATACTTTACAGTCCCCATTTTAAAAAAAATTAGTAATGAACTTATATTTATTTTCTGTAAACGTTATTAATGAATTTCTGCGTGTTTTATGACAGGTGCGCTTTCATCACCGCTCAGTGTGCCGACGACGACTTGAAAATGGACAGGAACATCAGACACTGCCTCCAGGGCCAGCTGAACGTGCTCAGTAACGTCACCAGACTTCCTCCACCCACGAGACCTCCTCGCCCCACAAGACCATCCGTAGACATATGCCAAAAGATTGAGACAGATGGCTGCTCCGACAGGATGAACCGCCCCACAAGGCTTTGCGCCAGTAACGGGAAAATGTACACAACTGGGTGAGTGAATGTGTTTTCTTGCAACTAAGACTCGGCATATACCTAATTGTGAAACTATAGCTTCAACAGATTTTGGACGTTCCCAGTTCTAATTAACCCCTCCGTTTCGCACACGCACATGTGTAATGCACACACGTAAAATATCAATTAACTTCCCAATATACATATATTTTGTTATAATATTGTAATATTCTGGTATCAAAATGAGTCAGAAACGTTTTTTAAAATCCTTTTTGAAAACAACAACTACGTCACTGCTAAACGAAGAGAAGAAAATTGCATGTGTATAGAAGTTACCTTGACTGTTGTTTTCCAGTTGTGACTTCTTCAAAGCGAGATGCGAAGATGCTACCTTGAAAATTGACAGGAACATCAGACACTGCCAGAGCCAGGTGAACGTGCTCAGCAACGTCACCAGACTCCCTCCACCCACGAGACCTCCTCGTCCCACAAGACCATCCGTAGACATATGCCAGAAGATTGAGTCAGATGGCTGCTCCGACAGGATGAACCGCCCCATAAGACTTTGCGCCAGTAATGGGAAAATGTACACAACCAGGTGAGTAAAAGTAGCGCCATCAACTTGCAACATTACCTTTGAAAAAAAATCATTTTGAAAACGTAACCGCAACTGTTTTCATTTGCAGTTGTAAGTGCTGATCAAGTCATTAAGACACATGTGAACGTGTACGTGAAGCACTTATTCTTACTGTTCGCCGAACCCCAGTATACATAAACTCACAGGTACACTGTATCGAGATGAATAAGATAATTTGTATTTTGATTCATTTGGATCAAATAAGTCTGTCATCTATTTTCAAAATATCCAAAAATTTGCATGTATGCATAAGCAGCGTTGATTTTGCTTAAACATCAACTTATATTACTTTACAGTTGTGATTTCACCAAGGCAAGATGTGAGGATCCTGCTTTGAGAGTTGACTGGAACATCAGGCACTGCCAGAGCCAGGTGAACGTGCTCAGTAACGTCACCAGACTGCCTCCGCCTACGAGACCTCCTCGCCCCACAAGACCATCCGTAGACATATGCCAGAAGATTGAGACAGATGGCTGCTCCGACAGACTGAACCGCCCCACAAGGCTTTGCGCCAGTAACGGGAAAATGTACACAACTGGGTGAGTGAATGCGCCGTGAGCTTGCACCATAAACAATTTACATACTTAAATTTTAAATCATAATTATATATATTCTCACATGCAGTAGTGTGCTCTCATTAAACACTGTAAAATTATGAAATGCATAATTCATCTTACAATTATTAAAAAATAATTATGGCACCGGCGCACAAATATGCATGATCAATTTTTGCAAGTTTTAGATTCTATCAAAATACATAATGTTAAAATCTATTTATATCATTTCCAGATGTGACTTTGTCAAGGCCAGGTGCGAAGAACCTTCCTTGAAGCTGGACAGGAACCTTAACCACTGTCGTCAGGACGAGTAAAATGACGCGCAACTTAATCTTTACAAGCGTTGGCAGTTTACGTTAAATGGCCGTATTTTGATTTGAAAAGAACATGTTTTGATTTCCCTTAAGACACATTTCATCCTATAATTAAACTGAATGGGTATAATAATTGCCATCTATTTAAAAGCCTTAAAATAAATGTTTTACAATATGACGTTCGAATCTGCATACTTTTTTGTGTATAGAATCAAAGTAAGAATCGAGATTCAAGATAACTGACTTTCTAGAACGATGACCACTTACACCCCACCTTAATTTCACTTCGTGCAGTAGTTAGTCCATAAACAGAGGACTTATCTCTCAAAGCATTCAAATCTTAGGCTTCAATTCAACAAGATACTGGGTGGTATTCGACCAGGAGTCAGCAAATATTTAACAGTTTGAATGCGCTAGAGGAGAAATGAAAACTTGTCAGAACCCACCCCCCAAAGTTGGTATTTTGCTTAAGTCTTTGGTTTTTTTAAATAGTAATGATGTCCAGTTGGATATGTTGTCTAATGGGTCCTAGGATAAGGCTAAAGTTCCCAATGGCATCCTCTTTGGAGATGCAGTTTCTTTGAAAGTTCCTTAATTGGGTTGAAGACCAATATATCGTTGTCCCAAATAACTGCTTTTGGTTTATTTGGCAGTTTATTTAAATTAAAGAGACATGCAGATAGATAAGCCATTTTTGATTGGTTTGTTGTTACATGTACGTGTTACCTCAGGAATCTGCACCCTGTTGTGCCTCATTTCCAGAGTACATGATACTTGAGAGGAGGTCCCATTGTGCCGACACGCAATGAAAACACGCCCAAACTTAATCGCGTTATTTTAGGACCGGGGAACTTCTCCGCTGGATCTGATAAGATTTTCAGTGTCAAACTCCAGACGCAGAATTTTCTCGTCAGCTGGGAAAAGTTTGCGCGCTGGAAGCCAGCAGAAATACTCATAACCCCAAAAAATTATATGTGCATACATGCACACCAGGAACTAATAGTGTAAAGTGGGGTTGTTAGTAGAAAAGGAGTTGAGTTGTTCGGCGGAAACTGACGTAAATTTATTTTTTCCATTAGCTTATTGCAAAATGAATGACAACAATTATTTTGAATTATTTGAAATTGTTTGCTTCACTGGCGAATTCAGTTGATGAACTGATGTCACAATGACACCAAAGAGATAAATAAAAGTTATTAAAACGCCACTTTAATCCTTATTTTCATTTATAAGTCAGCAAAATTGGAAAAATATATTCCATATTAAATCTCAAGTCTGTATTTAGAAAAAAGTGTTTTCCAACATCTCCAAAGACTAAAAGTCATTAAACCTATCCAGAACTTAAGTATCCTAACTGCACATGATTTTGCATAGTTTTGAAAAAGGCAACCTGGAAAATAAAACCACTAACTTTCCTTTACAAAATTACAATAAGCAACCGAGGCTACCAGCATTTTTAATGATTGTATTACCACACAGTTTTTGGTGTCTCAGTATATATGACATGATTACCATCATTCATTCTGTTCTCTGCAGTAACAAAGACCACAAGAGGAACTTTTATGGTTGGTTGTATTCGTCAAGTGGAAGTGCAATTTAAGTGTAAGTAGTGTTTATTGGGAGTTAACAAGGGGGTACCATGGAAAGGGCAGATAAAATGGCTAATTAAGTACATTTAGAGCCATAAAACGGAGTTCAAAGATATTAAGTTGACCATAGGAAAACATCCACTACAAATCGTAGCGTATTGTAGATTTCAAAGTTTTGAGAAATCCAGAGAGGCAGATCCCTTTGCCTTACGCTCGATCCAATTCCACCTGAAGAAAATATGCATACGTTATAAACATGTACAAAGACTGGAAAATGCATTCGACTCTTGTTACTATGTCTACATAACAAGATGGAAAGGTCAGTGATATTTTGTCACATGGACTGCAATACGGTATTTTAAAAATCGCATGCAAAAGAAATCATATATGGTAATGCTAAACATCTGTACTCACTACGGTATTAAAATGCCTTTCAGTTTTCAATCGAAAAAAAGTTGTATAATGTAGGTAATATAGGTTCATTATTGTCATCATCATCACCATTTAGTACCACAGGATAGTAATCCGATTAATTGTTTTCATGTGGCATTGATACAAGTGATACTTATCCATTTTACTACTTAGATATAGAGACTAAAATAATTATAATCTGACCCTCGAATCTATTCCGTATCGGTACAGTACCGAGTAATGAACGCAATATAAGTCCCAGAATGTACATATAAGACGTAAAATATTATTTCTAACAATGATGTATTGTTGAAAATGGTCACAGTAAATATTCACGACGAAAGAAAAAAGCAACTTCGACACTGTTGGTGAGAATACACTGTAGCTACAGTACATATTCGCGATTGAAACGGAAACTAACAAACTGATGGTGCGGGAAAGAGAGAATAAAACAAAAATACTTAATTGCACAAAAACTTATTGAATGGGTTTTTACTACCATTATACTGCAGATAGTTACAAATATTGCATCAAAGCTCTCCAAACAAAAGGCGTCCTTTTATAGCTAAAAACGCTCCTCTATATATATAATGTGAAAAATAACGCCTTGGTTTGCAAAACCACCAATCTTGCTAAACATATAAATTTAGTTGCCAAAAACCTTTAAACAAGGTGATTTTTAATGAAAATAATACAACAAAAGACATGGAGACAGGCTCTTATTTCTGAAATCTGTCTTTTGTAATTTGTTAAACACATTATCATAAAACCACAGATTTCAGACAGCTAAGACAGTGTTCTTATTTTTTATAACCGTTTATTGCTCAGAATTGCATGCAGTTAGGGAAGACCGAGGCTAGTTGGCCCTCGGGGTAAGTTGCCCCCCCTCAATTTATGACAAAGTAACTATGGGGTAAAAGTATTGATCACTGTATTTTGTAAAGTGACCGTATCCAATAGTGCTAAAAAAGCGTTGGCAGTGAGCCCAAATGAAATAATTTAGCATCTTAAAGTTACTTTATTAAAGAGACTTGATGGGGGGACAACTTACCCCGGGGTCCAACTAGCCCCGGTCTCCCCTAATGCTGTTATTGTAACAAAAACGACATTATGTGGTATTTGATTTTTATTACCTAGTTCGTTTTCCTACTCAAAGACTCGTAGTAAAAACCAATTGTGTTTCATATACAAACCAGATATGAAATTTATCTAACACTGCATGCCTAAAGATTTGCACTAATATTTGAATTAAATATTTGTTTTCATATAGATATTAAAATTATTTTTATCTGTCACCCATTTTTTTCCTTATTAAGATTTTTTCATTCTTTCAATATGCCTGCTGCGCTTTCCAGTGTGCTGTCCTCCTTCAAATAGAAAGACAGTTTAGTTGAATTTTTTTATATCAGTCCAATACCGTTAATCAATTAATGATTTGTTTGAAGCACACGTTTCTACTGAGAGAATTCAAAGTACTTTTTCTAAGTATTTCTACACTGCTATAATATAATCCACTTTTAGATGCAATTTTCGTAATCTGTAAATGGTCAGAAGTTCATTGTAAGACAATTTTGTTATTGGCAATCAAANCTTGATGGGGGGGGGGGGGGGGGGGGGGACTTACCCCGGGGTCCAACTAGCCCTGCTCTCCCCTACAACACAATTTCAGGATGGGAAAAGCAATTAAGGCACTTTGGGTTGAACAGAGATAATTAAGTGAACTGAGATAATTAAGGGAAATCTACACGGTATACCCTCCTCCATCAGAGTAGCAATTTCTTTTTTCCTTCACTGCTGGATCCTGTACGTTTACCGTGGTAGGAATTTGACAGCCAGACGTATGTTACACCTTTAATGCCACACTTTATATCTTTAATAATGGATGAAAATATTTCACTGGTTACGCGATCAATAAACCGCGAATCACGGTCCTCCACGCCAAATAGCGCAGTCTTTACACTGGTGGTGCATTACTTTTTAAATGTTGCTGAATTGCTTGGAATAGTCACAATACACAAAAGGCAACTAAGACACTCTTGGTGCAGAAAAGAGAGAATAAAACAAAAATACCTAATTGCGCAAAAACGGTTTGAAATGGTTTTGCCACTACAATATTACAGATAATGTAAATAATACATCAACGCTTTCTGAACAAAAGGCATCATTTTATAAGCAAAAACCCTCTTCTATAATGTGAAAAATAACGACTTGGCGCAGAAAAGAAAGAATAAAACAAAAATACTTAATTGCCCAAAAACGGTTTAAATTGATTTTACGACCACTATATTACAGATAATGCAAATAATACATCAAAGTTTTACGAACAAAAGGCATCATTTTATGTTTTACTTTTTGCAACCACTATAATACAAAAATACAAAAATACATGAAAGCTTTTCAGAACGGAAACCTCTAAATTTTCCGAACTGCATATGTCTGACATGGTATGTCAAAAAACAACCTGATAAATTAAGTCACAGTTTGTTTTAACTAAGGATATCAGCATTTTTGGATGATTGAGTCACCACTCAATCGTGTTACTAAATAGAACATATAAATGGACTATCATCATTCAGTCGTCCCATTCTGCTCTCCGTCGTATTGAAGACTAGAAGCAAGGGTATCTTTTAGGGTTGGTTGCATTCGTCAAGTCGAAGTGCTCTTTAAGGGTAAAAAATCACGTACATTTAGAATTAGCAAGCCATACTTTTGGGTTGGGGAATTAAATGACCCCATAAGCAAAAGATAAGCATTAGCAAAACGTAGACTTTAGTAAGATGCAAAACGAAGACTGGAAAATGGGATTTATTTCCTGTTATTATGTCCATATGACAAGATAAAAAGGATAAGGATATTTTGTCACGTGGACTGCAATACGGTACTGTAAGAAATGTGAAAGAGTGTAAGAAATGTGAAAGAGATCATTTATCAAACATCTGTAGTCACTTCGCTATAACTACTCCTGCAGTTTTCAATCAGAAATACTAATTGTATTGTGTG